AGTGGTTAAGTTGTATTTACAACACTGTTCCAGAACAGTTTAACCCAAATATTCGTGTGTGCAACGCATTTTATGGAGGACTGTTTCCTGATCCTGTAGTAGACTACAATGGGTCTGTGCTCAAAGGCTGTTTCTATAAAGTGGGGCAATTCCAACTTTGCAAGGACAGTCTGGTGCTTCTGAGTCACAGCCTGTAAGCACGTTTTCATATTTACAGGATTTGCCACTGTGTAGAGTAGTACTTGTTGTTTGTAGTTTCTCCGATCACAAATGCAGATATGGCTTTATGTTTACGCGGTGCGATACACAACGCAATGTGTAAAACGACAGTATAAGTCATTATAATCAGTAATTATGTCCCCACTGGATGCAACAAATGCCTCGTTTATAATGGGTTTTAATGTTTATGTCTCGTCGCTCCGGCCGGACAGGGCATCAACAGTATGGTGAGGGGCGTAACATTTCTGTCACACGCTTGAGGTATTCGGCCAATCACAACACACTGGATAGCTGGCCAATCACAGCACACCTCACTTTTCAGACCGATGAGCTTTGTAAAAATCGACGCGTTTCAGAAAGGCGGGGCATAGAAGAGAAACAATAACGTAAAGTATGTGGAAAATAATGTGCTTTTTGAACCTTAAACCGCATAAACACATTGCATTACACCAAATACACAAAATAATGTTCTTTTTAGCAACATCATATGACCCCTTTAATGTCTTGTGAAGTGAAAAGCTGCTTATTTGTAAGAAACAAATGAACAATTCAAAGAAACAATCAAAATATGAATCCATAATTCACTTCCTCCAGTAAAATTTTTGTTCAGAAATGGAGCGTAGCGTTAGTTCTGGCAGGTCACGTTAGTCAAGCCCTGCATCAGCTGACACTCAGCTGATCCACGTCTACCTATAGGAATACGACGACAATCATAATTCCCTTTATAAGGTCCCTTCAGTCATTATTCAGCAGCTATCGCATTGCTCAGGAGCTAATCACCCACCTGATACCCCCCACCTGGGGGGGGTATTTATGCTCTTAGGCTGCGTGGATGGGCAGGGAGTTCTTGCCCAGAACAGAACCATACCCCCAACCTAAAATGTATGCTAATTGTAAGTTATCTTTGACTATAGTGGTCCTGACAGAACTGTTTTTGACTCTTTGATCTGTGCATATTTCTCTCCTGATTCAGATGATAAGTCTTTTTCGCTTGAAAAAGCAATATTATGGATTGTAGACTCAGGACTGGACTGATTGTAGCTGTTTGGACTCTTGTTCTGACGGCACCCATTCACTGCAGAGGATCCATGGGTGAGCAAGTGACGTAATGCCAAATTTCTCCAACTCTGTTCCCATGGAGAAACTCATCTACATCTTGAATTGCCTGAGGGTGTGTAAATTTGAGCAAATTCTCATTTTTTGAATGAACTATTCCTTTAATAACCATCCAACGAAGCTAAATTAAACGAGGGAAAATAAAAGGATATGGTTATTTAGAAATATAGCCATATAGCCTATACAGAAAACGACACAACTGTTGTTAACGAAACAAACAAGCATTCTTTGACATGTTCAAGCATATTTAGTAAAAGCGACTGTCCACGTGCCAGCAGCACGCTATAGCTCGCTCACGGTGTTCAGCAGCGCAGTGACTGAATAGACGCTTCGCGGTGACGGATTGCACAGCTGATCTGGCAACAACTGGCCGTTCAGCGAAAGGGCCGATGGTCTCTGCGCGCAGGATATAATTAAACGCTTGTAGCTTCAGCAGTGCGGGAATAAGGTAAGAGTCCAGGGAAATACGTTTGATCTTATTGGACATGGTACTGATGAATTGGGCTCTGTTTAATATGGTATACTGTGTTGACGCGGACCGATGTGTTTATATCCTCTGTTAGACCGCTAAACGCCTGTGTGAGGTCTACTGGAGTCATTCATGAGCATTAGTAGAAGGAAACATTTTGCTCTCATGATTCACGTGACTATTAGCGTAGCTACGATGTGCTGATCAAGACAAGTGCATCCTTCATATGATCCGACTCTAACCGACAGTCGTATTACCGAGTGGATAAGGAATATACAGAATACACACACGTTTAGGCTTGAACAACCTCCATGAAAATAACATTTATAAACGGGACAGAAAATATGCTGCGGTGACTAGACGTCATCGACCAGCGCCATTTGCCCACATATGAACGACCTCAGTTCATGCAGGTTAATGTTGCTTTAATATAGTTCAGACTGACAAACAATGTGATTATTGGTACATTTAGCTGGGCACCCCATCACGGGGGCCCGGATGAAATAATCCTCTATAATGGACCACAGAGCGACCATTTGCTGCACTGTCAATCTAAAAGCCACCGAAGCAGTGAAGTCAACGACAAAAGCCTTGAGGGACTCGATATCCCGACTGTTTATCCAACATAGCCGTAATTTGTTTAGCATTTGCTTACGTCGAACCATTTTAATACAGTATTTTGAATAAACTAGGAGCGACCAATCCAAAACCGGCAGCGGAACATGAGCTGATTTCTGATTGGTCGACTGGCTTATTAAGTTTTCCTACGGTGTGTATGGTGGTGGGGATTCATTGCAGTGACTCGAATCTTTTGAATCAAATAATTCATTCGCAAATGATTCTTAAAGGAGTAGTTCACCCACAAATGAAAATTCTGTTGTAATTTACTCACCCTCATGTCTTTTCAAGATGTTCTTACTTTTGCAGAGCATAAAAGAAGATATTTTGAAGAATGTTGGTAACCAAACTGTTTTGATTACCATTGATTTACCCATTGGTTTACCATTTTCTCAAATTGTTGTTTATGTTACACAGAAGAAAGTAAGTCATACAGGTTTGGAACGACATGAGGGCGAGTAAATTATGACACAATTTTCATTTTTGGGTGAACTATCCCTTTAAGTCTCGGTATATAATTTTTTGTATAAAGAAACAGTTTATATTTTGAAAAATGTATATTATAAATGTGTGTAAAATATAATTTGGAAAATATTTAGTTTCTGTTGTTACATTATTACGTTTATCTACCCATTATAATACTGTTATAGTACTGCATTTATTGTTTATTTATGCATGTATTTACACTTTTAAATCTAGTTTTTATTTATATCTATTTTTATTTGTTTTGGTCTAACCTGCTTTCATTTAGTCTAATTTGATTTAATAATAATATAAAACGTGATTTTAATAATAATATAAAAGAATAATATACAGTACAGTAAAACAAAATTTTTTTTAAATACAAGAAAAAATAGTATTCAAGAGGAAAAGGGTGCTTAATTAATAAAGTAATAAAGCGTTGAGAATGTTAGATTCATTTAGCCTAAGCAAACCGGTTCGCTCGAACAATTTGATTTAATGAATGGCTCACTCAAATGTGTTTATATTTTGAAAAATGTATATTATAAATGTGTGTAAAATATTTTGTTTCTGTTATTGCATTATTACGTTTTTATTACGGTTTCTGTTATTGCATTATTACGGTTTTCTACCATGTTATAGTACTGCATTTATTATTTATTTATGCATGTATTTACTTATTTCAATTTAGTTTTTATTTATATCTATTTTTATTTAGTTTTAGTTGTTTTGATCTAACCTTTCACTAAACATTAACACTTCTTGTGGCACCTGAAATCCCTGCCTAAGGGAATGAATTCGTTATAACATATTATTCTCACCATTATACCATATTAAGAGTGAAATATCGGCAGAAATAGTAAAAGCAGTATGCCATTTCGAAGAATTATAAAAGATTCGTTCAAACGAACCGATTCGTTCGCGAATGAAACACTGACTCATGTCCAAAATAAGTTACAAGGCCTTAAGTCACAAACCAGACCCACAACACATAATAGCACGTGTAGACAAGCCGGGGTGTTGTTTCTGTCCGCTTCCAAAACACACGGTTGCTAGCGGGTTGAGTCAGGCAGGACATGATCACATCGGCTTCAGTTCCTTCAACAGAAACTGAATGAATACTTCCGACTCGTCTAATACCGCTACTGCGTTTTTGATTCGCGGAGATGAATGATGTATTTACGTTACGAGCTTAATATGTGTTTACCCTGCAGATGCGAAGATGAAGTGAACATGATCAGTACCGATGGCCCCTCCACCCAGTGCGAGGAGACCCGGGACGCCGGGAAGAGGGGCAGGCAGCCCCCAGAAATGCTGCACCTCATGTTCGCTGTGTCCGTGTGGCTGGTGACGGGCACCACTATATCCAGCCTCAACAAATGGATATTCTCCGTGTACAATTTCAGATACCCGCTGCTTCTGTCAGCCCTCCACATGCTGACGGCGATAGTGGTGGACTACGGACTGATCAAGTGCAGGGTGATCCGGCACAGAGGCGTCTGCGAGCAGGATTTAACCACCTGCGCCAAATGCAAAGTATTCCTGCTGAGTTTGACCTTCTGTGCCAGTATCGCGTTTGGCAACGTGGGACTCAATTATGTGCAGCTTTCGTTCGCGCAGATGATCTACACCACCACGCCGCTGTTCACGCTGGCCATTTCCACGCTGATTCTGGGAAAGCAGCACCACATCCTGAAGTACACCGCGATGATGCCCATCTGCCTCGGGGCGTCGTTCAGCATTATGGGCGAGGTCCAGTTCGACCAGACCGGCTGCCTGTTTGTGTTCGCCGCCACTATGTTAAGAGGCGTAAAAACCATTCAACAAAGTACGTTTATATACAACCAGGGTAGAATGAAAAATATTCAATTCAAAAACAAAAAAATACAATTAACTAGTTATATAGTACAACTCAATAATAACATAATAATATACAGTAGGCTAAATAAATAAATAACACAAGAAAAAATAATATACAAGAGGAAAGTTGTGCTTCAATAAAGTAATAAAGTTTTGACGATGCTCGATTCATTTAAGTTCGAACGATTCGATTTAATGAATGGCTGGTAAATGTTATGACGTTTTCTATTTAGTTATATAGATTCAGGGTTTTCACAGTCATGGAAAACATGGAAATAACTGGGAATTTTAACTGTACATGTCAAGGTAATTGATAGATTCATTGTCTCATGTTCAGCTTTAAAATATTTCATTGGATATAAAGTTTTTTGTAAGATGAAATAAATTCCTATGCAGTGAACACGAACTGGAAAAGTCATAGTTATGTCATAAAAATGAATAAGGCAAAGTAAGGTGTGGAACCCTTCAGATTCCTAAACAAGTAAAGTGATTCATAACGCCTTTCGATTCGTTTTGAACGAATCACCTAAACGAATCGGTTCACAATAACGCAACTACATATAGAGGGGAAGTCGTGGCCTAATGGTTAGAGAGTTGGACTCATAACCCAAGGGTTGTGGGTTCGAGTCTCGTACCGGCAGGGATTGTAGGTGGGGGGAGTGAATGTACAGCGCTCTCTCCCACCTTCAATACCACGACTGAGGTGCCCTTGAGCAAGGCACCGAACCCCCAACTGCTCCCGGGGCGCCGCAGCATAAATGGCTGCCCACTGCTCCGGGTGTGTGTTCACGGTGTGTGTGTGTTCACTGCTTTGTGTGCACTTTGGATGGGTAAATGCAGAGCACTAATTCCGAGTATGGGTCACCATACTTGGCCACATGTCACGTCACATAATAGCTAAACTAACACACTTTTTTTTGTATATGTATAATTATCAGGCATCTTGCTCCAGGAGGAGAAGATCAACTCTGTCTTCCTACTGTATCTGATGTCCATCCCCAGCTTCTGCATCCTGGCCATAGCCGCCCTGGTTCTGGAGAACTGGGCCGCGCTGCAATCCCCTTTCCAGTATGACCACCACCTCTGGGGTTTCATCTTGCTCAGCTGTCTGGGCTCAGTGCTTTACAACCTGGCCAGCTGCTGTGTCATCACCCTGACCTCCGCTGTCACGCTGCACATCCTGGGCAACCTGAATGTGGTGGGGAACCTGCTGCTGTCCCAGCTGCTGTTTGGGCATGAGCTGACGGCTCTTAGCTGTGCTGGAGCTGCGCTCACCCTCTCAGGCATGATCATCTACCAGAACTCAGAGATCATCGTAGCTTACATCGACACACGGAGAGCCAGGACACCAACCGGTGGCAGTGGAGAGGACGTGGTTTGTGTTAAGGAGAATGATTCGAACATATCAAAGACTCCAGAACCTTGTTCAGAAGGAGAATCATCTGCAGAAGCAGCTCAAGAACCTAACAAGAGGACAGAGAATCAGGTTCATGAGAAAATGGACTGAAGAGACTTAAAGGCTGTGTTCCAAAACCTAGTGAGCTGCAGTGCTGCTGTCTATAGCCAAACTCCTGACTTTTTTCTTGAATGGAGTACAAGGAAAGTGAAAAGTGGTCATGGCTCTCTTTGGTCCACAACCACTTTCATTAGATGGAAAAGAGAAGCTTGAACCTGAGTTGTTATAGTTAACTAAAACTTAACTAAAACAATAAAAAAGTGCTCATTGAAATAAAATAAATGTTAACTAAAGAAAAAAAAATTGTCAATTTTAGGTAGTTGCCAAAACTGAAATATGTACTAAAATAAAAATTAAAAAGAAATAAAAACATAATTATAAAGTTGCATTTAAAAAAAAAAAACGAAAAAATGATAAAAACACAAAATTACTAAAAGCCTTGTTGTGGGCAGTGCGCCGATATATAGCACCATTGCGCTACAGGCGTCCTGGCTGGAGGACCTTTCCCTATCCCGCCTCCCTCTCTCTCTCTCACACTTCGCTTCCTGTCTACAATACTGTCCTATAGGGCTGTCAAAAAAATTTGAATATCGAATATTCGTCGAATTTAAAATAAAAATCCACATTCGAATGCAAAAACGTTGCATTCGAATTTTAGGTGTGCGTTAAGGAGGCAGCCTTATCAGTGGCGCACGAAATGCGATGACGATGTAGGTGTCATTGCATTTTAATGTTTTTGTTAGCCTATCCAGTTAAAGCCACTGGATGCGGCGCTGCTGCGTTGTTAATTACAAATATTGCAGGAAAAGAGAACATAAATGCGGAGAAGATCTTGTTTATGTCAAAACTGAAACCAAGCTGTTCACACAGAACGCATATTTCGTGCATTTTCTAGAGGGACATCTAGCAACGTTGCACTCGCGTCTCGCACAAAAGAGCCGCATGTTTAGAAAGCCATGTAAAATTTATGTAAGTTCAACTTTGAAAAAACATATCTCGAGACTTTATGGCGGGTTTTTTCCCCATCCCACTGCATCTCATGTTCTTAAATGAAAAATGTACTCTTTGTGATTGGCATTCGGCCCTTTGTATTAAACTATGAATACATACATAATGCTGTTTTGTTTATAGCTGTTTAAGCAACTTAATTATAATTGGTTTATAAACATGATTTTAAAAATTATGCACTTTTTTTCCACAAATAGTCATGTTATCTTATGCTTTGAATAAACGTGCATTATATTTTGCTTTATGCGCCCTCTTGTGGCCTCAGGAGAGAAGCCAAAAGCTTTTCTTCACCCTAACTGAAATTATGCCTTTTAAATTCGAATATAATTCGAATTTTGATAATATTTAAGTACAAAATTTGAATTTAGTTTTTCAGCCATTTTGACAGCCCTACTGTCCTATCATAATAAAAGGCAAAAATGCCAAAAATAAATCTTTAAAAAAATTGACAATGTAAAATATCCCTGACCCTCGTAGCTAAGTAACCAATCTGGAATGCTTTACATTGGCAGCAATTTTGTTTATCATACAAATAGCACTCCTGACACAAAGCGCACAAGAAACTCACCTCACAAGTGATTTTAAAGCCCAAAGTATACTTTGCTTTTGACTTGAATGCTAGAATTTGTGTACAGCCGAACATAGCTTTTTAAATTATACTTTATTTGATATTGAACGTTCGATATGTGGCCAATACAAAATTTTGTCCTTGCCGTGTCTGCGTTGTTTCTTTCCAGATGTGATAAATAGTTTTGCTCCTGTTAGAATATAGTGTATCGTTTTCCCTTCACACAAGCACTCGTCAACGTGGCCATCTATTGTTGTTGCCGTGTGTTCGTTGTTGTTGTCTGTTTTTCTACTTTAAGGTTGCCACCTTGTGGACAAACTAATTAGTGCAACAAAAAAAAATTCAAGACGCACATGTGAGTTGAGCGTACAGTGCATGCGCAATTAGAAAAATCTATCTGCACACATACAAACCAAAGTATACTTTGGGCATAGAGTTTGGCGTTAGCATGTTGCAAAAGCTAACAGTGATACTCTAATAAGCAAAATACAAAGCACACCAATACTGGATAAACTAGTCTTTTTAATTCAATTGAACTATTTTATTGATACTTTTCAGTTTTGAATGAATTAGGTATATTTACATTCAATGTTTGCAATCTATGATGCCTAATAAATGCAGTCTTACACAGGCAGTTCACTAGGTTTTGGAACAGAAGACTGAGCATCATCCAGTGTTAGCTGGTTTAATATGGAGTCTGATTAGATACGAGGTGTCCTGGTTGGCGGTGATGATGATAATGATGATGATACTGGAGGTGTAGTTTTCCCCAGTACCTCCTCACTGTGCCAATAATATATTTAATTTCAGTCATCCTTCCAATGGAGAAGCACCATCTACCAGAGCTCTGAGACTGACTGACTGACTGAACACATGCCTTTTTTAGCACATGCCGACGGCAACAGTTTGTTTGATTTTTTTTCCCCCTCTGTTTTGCCAACACACGCTTATAAGTGCGTGAAAACTCCTGCATGAGGCTCGGGAAGATCTCCAATATCCTGCCATATTCATTCTGTGACTGTGTGTCTATCTAATGCACTGTGAAATACAACTGCTCCGTTTGCTCTGGTCCTCTTTAGCTGTTACTGGACTTGTTGGCACTTTTTGAATACTAGAGATAGACACACAAAAAGATACATAGGAATAATGTATTTTTAGATACTGTAACTCAGCCGTCTTGATTTGGTGATATGGGATGGTACTTTTAAGGCAGCTTTCTGTAGGATGCCATGTTTAAACAAATATCCTGTCTTTGTTACAGCACTATCACTTTTCATCTTGGTTATGTTTACATAATGGAGACGAGCAAGATTACTGGCTCCTCACTTGGGTTCACTTTTATTAAGCTTGGTGCACTATTCAGAAATTTGTTTTATACCTCTCTGGTGTAGTATAAGCCAATGTTCTTCTTATCTCATTACTGCAATGCATCTGAATGTTTTGCATTTTGAATGTTTTGGGGGGGTTGGGGGGTTGCATTATAGAATTGACTTTTTCACATTGCAGTACTGAAAACGAGGGAACTTTCTTTCCAAGATTTTATTTTTTTATTTTTCCCCCCCGCCAAGTAAAATTTGATCGGGCATGTTCCTGACAAGCTTGATTGAGATTCACCCGAAGTAACAGCTGAGAATTTTTTTTTTTTATATATATATATATATATATAATTAATGTTATGAAAAGGCAGGCAGGTTTAAACTGGTGCCTCTTATGTAATTCCCAGTGCAGGTAATTATTAATAGGTTTCTCTAAGGAGTCTCAAACATCTTTAGCACACTATAATCTCGTAGGAGAAATCAAAATGATATTTTCTCTCTCATTGTCCTCTTTAAATCCTCCACTAAAGGCCTCCTTGCTCGTCTCCTCTGAATGGGTGCTCATCTTTTTTCATTAGTTTCTTGATTGATTTGTTTTATTGATGCCTGCTGGACAGTATTATTTTCCCTCCACTTTGATTTGTGTGTTGTGATGCTGTTACAAAAAAAAAAACTGACATTAACAGAGGTTATAGACCAAGGTACATAGCAAGGTCAAAGAGTTTTGTTGCCATCTGCTGGATATAAAGCGGATATTCATTTATTATTATGACTTCGTTTATAACTGAATTGAAGTGCATTAGATAGAAATATCAGGCAGTTTGCCTTTTTCCCAGCATGTTGGGAATTCATAGCTGGGGTTTAGTATGACATAACTCACTCACACCATTTTGGGGTTCTTAGATTTGGCTAACTGGAAATGAATGAGGATGTGAATGTATCTCAGTGGGTGATGAAGTTTAGGCAGTCTTATGGAGCCATGATAAAAGCCTACGCTGACTCAAGTGTGCCTACCTGAGGGCTGATTTCATTAGGAAACACCAGCCTTTCAAGTTTAATTTATTAAGGTCTCAACTGTCCATTCATGCTTCAGTGTTTGCACGCATTACTTCACTTCTAGTGAACAGCATCATAGGAAAAGCATCGTACAAGCTCGATCTATGATCGATTGATTTATCTTGTGTTATCCATTGTTAAGGGTGGTATATTTGAAATTTACACACAGGGGCGCGAACACTTCTATTAATCGGCTGTGCAGGCATGGTTAATGGCCTATGGTCATCATTTCAAAATGGCCCATTAAACAGCCTAGCTGATACACCAGTCTATATATATATATATATATATATATATATATATAAAGTCCGGTCACATTTACTGTTGATCAACAACATCCAGTTATTTCAGCTGGAACTGATTGGGAAATTATTCATGCAAATTAACCTCACTGACCAACAGAAAGTTGATTTGTTTAAAGGTGACTTAAGTGTAAACTCTGCTAAGTACATCGCTTTTTCTCTGAAATTTCGCTAAAGTGACTGCATCTTATCACTGAACGCGTGTTACGCGACACTGCGTATTCATACTGTATAATATTCATCCAGTATCTCTGTACCACAAGCACAGCGGTTAACTGCAATTAGTACAATGATAATCAACAGAATGAAAGCAAAGTTTCTGACTTTTTACTCTTCCCCATCAAACATGAGGTGAGGGTTGTCAGATAAATACCTCAGATGTTATTGCTTATTCCTGTGATGACGTTTGTTGACATTTTACTGGGTCACTAATATACTGTACTGGATACTGTACTGGATGCTGAGATCTCTGAACATAGAGTGGCAGTCGTGGTGGTACTGACGGTTTTGATGGGTCTTTTATTGGTTATCTAAATTTTATCTAAATTGCACTGACGATTTGCATAACTGTATGGCTCCTGTGTATATATGGTTTCTGATGTCAGCAAAATATCAGTTGTAAATGCTTATTTTATTATATTTATGTATTTTACAATCATGAAAAGTTGTTAATATACTGGTACAAAAAAAAAAACAGTCTCATGCCTTCTGCTGTCACACGTCAGTATAGCAGTATGCTATTTTAGTATTAACTATGAGTATGCTAAAGCTAGTTAGAAATATGTTAGTAACATGCTAGCAACAGCTAAAACATGTTAGGAATGTGTTAAAATATCTTAACAACATGCTAAAACATGTTAGCAATCATACTAGAAACGTTAGCAATGTGTTGAAATGTTAGATATGTTAAAACATGTTAAAAATGGTAAAACATGCTAACTGTTAAAACATAGTAGCATGTTAAAATATTAGCGATATGCTAAAACATGCTAGCAACATCATAAATCATACTAGAAACATGTTAAAACATGTTAGCAATTTTTTCCTGTTTAAAAAAATAAATAAATAAAAAATACCGTGAGAAACTTAAAATGGAAGTGAAGGCCAGCTGACCAACCAGCTAAAACCAGCCTGGCCAGGCTGGGAGACCAGCTAAAACCAGCTAAAACCAGCCAACCAGCATAGGCTGGTTTAAGCTGTTTTTTTCAGCAGGGGGGCCATTAAAAAGCTGACTGTTTAAATAGCTTTGCCACATGATATAAACAATATGCATGTTAACATCATTTTAGCTTGAAAAATATCACTTACCAACCTTTTCTGTGTAAAGCTATATAAAAATGTACAATTTTGTTGGTGTCACAACCAACAAAAGGCGGGCAAAGTACACAACTCTATTACTTGAGTGAAAGTACAAATACTGCTGGTCAAATATTACTCCATTACAAGTGAAAGTTGTAAAGACAGATTTTTACTTAAGTAAAAGTACAGAAGTACTTTGCATTTAAAAGTACTTAAGTACCAAAAGTAAATTTCCTGTTTTATGTCAACACACTGTTTTATTATTGTTGTATGTAATACTTGCAATACCTTATGCCTCTGAAGCAACTTACAATACATTACGCCTACTGAATACATTGACTAGCTTGTAGTATCTTTGTAATAAAGAGCTTTTAGGAAGTTAAAAACCTATAGATATGAAGCAAGTGAGTTGACAAAAAACACAATTTTATTTAACACTCCTACCCACCCCCACAAAAGCAGCATGGCAAGTGATCTCACACAGCTCTGGCAGTGTCTGCACACATCCACATTTCAACCGAGTGGATAGTGAAACTGCTGTTAAAACTGATAAGAACAAAGAAATCAAACCTGCTTTAAAACCCAGCAACACAACTGTAGCTGTATAACTTTACAACAGCAATTCTGCTTTAACCAAAAATGCAAAACAGCAACATTTATTTAACATCAAAACAAAAATTTAAAAAATACTGTCTAATCGCTCTTGCGGTATTTTGATGTCATACACAGAACGTTCTGTACAGTGCTGCTTCAGTCAAACACCTTTTGTGTTTTGTTAGGAGACGCACAACAGTTCTTCTGTGGCTTTATATATAATATTTTCGTTTACACAATTTTGCAAAATCAGACAATATTGTGTCTAATATAAACCACAATATTAACTTCTTATTATTGAATTGTTGTAAATAAATATCACATTTCCAGCTGGTCAGTGTTCAAAAAAATGCTGGGAAATCACTTCATGCAGCCCTACAAGAGTGATTACTGGTAAACTGTCTGAAAAAGAAAAGAGAGTCACGTTTTAGAGAAGAAAAAAAATCACCCACTGACTTTCAAAGCTGCTACATAGTAACGACTTTCTACTTCTAGGACGAGAAATGTAGTGGAGTGAAAAGTACAATATTTGTCTTTCAAATGTAGTGAAGTTAAAGTCATGAGTTTCCAGAAAAAAGTATAAATAATACAATAGTTATGCAATGAAGTAAAGTACAGATACTCAAAAAGAGTACTTAAGTACAGTACTCAAGTAAATGTAGTCCGTTACTGTCCACCTCTGGTCACAAGGTTAGGGTCTCTGTAAACCCTAAAATACACACGTTTACATAAGTTTAAACAGAAAATAATAATAAGCTCCACATTCCTGCTTTTGCCACAAACACCCCAGATAGCACACGTATGTCTGCAAGATGTCTGTTAAAGATCACTTGATCTGGAAAGCATCTGCTGGGTACAAACATCTGACAGACGTCTGTAAGATGTCAGTTTTACGTACATTCTAAACCATAAACATCTTAAAGACACCTGATAGGAAACGTCCTATAAACGTATTGCTGATGTGCAAATACTCTGAAAAAATACGTCTTGCAGATGTAAATGCAGACGTCAAATAGATGTCTCCGTGATGTACGTGTGCTATCAGGGACTGTCGACTGAGCTTAACCTGTATATTTTCGTTGAGATGACAGCAGCCAGTTTTGCACAGTTTAGCAAAACTAGCATTTCCTCCGTGTTGAACGTTATGAAACATTACATTGTAAGTGCCTTTGTATGACTCTGTCACTATAACAGCACCACTTTTGTATAATTAGCCTAATATGCCACATTAGTCACACTGACTCGCTGAACATCCAGTCTAAGTCAAGGCTTCCTTCACCCTCACTGTTTCCATGTGTCATGCTAGCTCGTCTCTGCCAGCTAATGACCACAATCAGCCACCACGAGGTGGAGCCAAACACTCCTTTTTCATTACAACGCCTCCATCATACTCTAATGGTGTGAACATGAAAATGTACATGTGCCAATGACATTTCTGGCCCCTGCTTTTGCAGATAAATGCTGCGACGAGTGTGTTTATGTCTGCATAGGAGAAAAGGATGTGTCTGATCTGTGTAAATATGGAGGTGCTGCTAGGCAACATCATTCTTATGACTTAATAAGGCACTGTTCTCCGTCTGTCCACTCATGGACAGAACACTGTTTAGTTCTGCCTAGAGCCAGGCCACCTGCTTATGCAATCACTGTCAACACACAGCATGCTGGAGGAGCACCGTTTATCTCAACGTTTTCTTTCCTCTGGTTTTCAAACATATAAATACTCCGATACCACTTTTGAAAGTGACAGTGTTTAGATAAAATAATGACGCAGTGTTATCTTCGGAGTAAAAACTGACGGTAAGGAAAGATCAGGACAAGCAGTGCCAAATACGTCACTAATACTAAATGTCCCGTTCTGCTCTTTCCACTTTTTTTTCCTGGTCCCTTCAGAAGAGGGTGATGAGGGTCGGGTGGGAGGGCTCTCACGGTGACTCTGAAAAACTCAAGTCACTCCAGCATCTGAGCCGAGCTGAGTTGAGTGTATGTGATCCCACAGTTCACCTTTCTACATCAGACCGCAAGACCTTTCCTCTCGGACAGCTGCAGTGAGATCGGTGAGCTTCATTTCTCTGTTTCTTATTTTACAAGAACTTTTTTGTTGTTTTTCTAATGAATTTCCATCCATATTTCAGTGTAGTGATTGTGTGATTACATAACAGCTATTAGACCAGTGTAAGAGCAAATTGTTTTTGAGCGGTTATATAAATTCCGCAGACATTATTATGTGCTATTAGGGTAAAACTGTATTATGGCATCCAGAAACAACATTATCTATTCTGCTAGCTTCAGCCCACACATTAAACCCAACACATACTAACATACAACAGGACTAAAGTGTATCTGGATGCTTGAGGCATCTGCACTCAAATGCTGACAGAGCTTTTCTCAGGACTTAATTCAATTTTCTGAGCCACTTGTGCATTGACTTTTGGTCTAACAGATATCAGAGTAGTTTAAGGCATTAGCTATGAACATGATCCACTAATGTTTGACAACTATGGAGCCCATTAAGGGATATATATGGTGATGGGGGAAAAATGAGATGGGAGAAAGACTTATTTTTCAATGCTTTTGTGAGTGAACACAGAGTTTATTGGGGGAACATCATTCCCAAAACGTATTCATCTATTCCATCGTTTAGTGGCCAAATTGGTAAGTTGTTCCCTCACTTTAATGAAGTTACGCTGTCACCACAATTTAACTAAAATGAGGGAGCGGATTAAAAAAATCATGGGAACAAATTAGTACAACGTAGCCATTATTCAACAAGGGAACTAATTAATCAATTGTGGGAATAAATTCTTAAACCACAATTTATTTATTTATTTTCACGTCATGTATAGAGCTCTGTACTTTTGTGAGCGAATGCAGCAGTTTTTGGGGTAATGCAATAATTGTGAGTTTTAAGAACAAACATAGTTTCATGAACAAATGCAAAACTTTTGTAAGAGAACACAAAACTAATGATGAAAATAAGAGTGGGAGGAAAGGAGGAAAAATAAGCAAACAGAGTTTCTTAGGGAACACGAGGGACATAATGCAGTTTTGTAAGTGAACACAAAAGCATTGAAAGCAAAGTTTTCCTCCTATCTAATATTTTTACATCACCAACTATATATATATATATATATATATATATATATATAAAAACCTACAAAACACTCTTTTTTTGATTAAAAGTTAATGCCTGGATTGATATATATATATATATATATATATATATATATATAAAAACCTACAAAACACTCTTTTTTTGATTAAAAGTTAATGCCTGGATTGATATTTTCTGTCTGCAGTGGTATTAATACATTTTTAAATTATTAAATGGATAGTTCGCACAAAAATAAAAATTATGTCTTCATTTACCATGTACTCATCCTCATGTCATTCCAAACTTTAAAAATTAGGAAAGTTCCCCCCATTCAATGGAAATCAAAGGGGTCCAATGTTGTTTAGGATCTTCTTTCCAAAGAAAAAAGAAAGTCATACATGTCTGGAACGACATGAGAATGATGACAGAATTTTAATTCCTTTAAATGTCTAAATATTTTTGGGGGCCACTGTACTCCCTGCAAAGAACTATGGGAAATATTCTCCACTCATAAAGCATGTTATTCCACAGATGTCTTTGCCTTTGAGTTGTTTACAGGACTATGGGCAGAAGGTGCGAAACACATCCTAAAGCACTGGCTTACGTCAATGCCAACCAGCATGGTTTCTGTATATGTTGAGATGAATATTTGGACGTTGCCTTTCAGATGTCCTTTTCCGAAGGAACAGATGCAAACAGTCATCATTATGTGTGGCCTGAAGCAGCTTGACATTTAATATGTGAAAAAACAACCACACAGATATTTTTTAAGTGTAATGTTTGTTCAGACTAGCAATTTGTAGTAACAAACAAGCATCTTGGGGTTTCTCAAAATATCTCTGTACTAGTAGCTCTCGCACAAAGTATTCAGTTAGAACTCTTTCCCTCAATTTTTCGTAAACGTACTCCCTCATTCCCACGCACACATGGAGATACACACATCTCGTAACCTGGCTCCATCAACACCTCCTGTTCCTCCTTCTGTCCCAGCTGTCACTAAAGATGGAGGGTGAGAAGAGAACATTAGAGGCAGGTACCAAAGAGCAACCTGATATGACGGGTCCCCTGACAGCCGAACAGCTGGCAGCTATAGAGGATGAAGAGATCCTCAATAATATGGTAAGAGGCAACTAATGGCGCTACAGGCGCAGTGGGTTTGTTATCATGTCTTCTTAACCATATTTAGGAAAGTGTTTCACTTCTGTTTATTGCATGTACTAGCTAGATAAGGCTGTGGATTTTGAGGAGAGGAAAATGATCCGCGCTGCCATGAGAGAACTGCTGAAGAGAAAGAGGGGTGAGGACCGGGTCATGTCCCTAATGTCTCACATTCAGTACATATGGTCTGCTGAGTCTAATGTGCTTCCTGACATTATTTTAGGTGAATCTCACAAAACTTGTCAGGAATCTGGATTACATTTAAGTCAAAAGAAATTAATATATTTAGCAAAAAGAAAATTAATAATATTTTTACAACTATTACATTTTATTGTGACATTATTGTAAGCATAATTCATGCTTTGCTGTCTTTAGTATTTATGCTAATTTTATTAGTGGGGAAAACGCATCTGGACAGGGCAATGCTCAACACTGTCAATAAGATTTTTTGTATTACATTAATGCTACTTTTGGGTGGAAATCTGATAAATTGGCATGAAAATAATTTCATAAAGAACCCCCCCCCTTCCTGTAATAAATCTGGACATTTCATTTTTGGGTTTATCTGTAATTCTCACTATTCCCAGAGTTAATTCTCATTCAAGTTTCATTATCTTTATCTCATTATCATATTCATCATTATTAGTATTATCATACTGTTAAAACTTTAATACAATGCATCTGAAATCAAGTTAAAGTTAAAGACAGTACAACAAATACTACCATCATTTAAAAAATACTTTACAATTTCAATAATTTATAATGATATAGAAAATAATAAATTAGGGGATTTTTGCATTACAGTAAGAATAAGAATGAGAGTTTTTGTATAATTTAAAAAAATGAACAGGTAGTGTCTTTAATTGGCACAAACATAATGCAACAAAGCAAAAGATCAAAGTAATAAAATAATGCAATTAAAAAGGTTATCATTGTCTTAATATAATGTCTTATTTATATAATAATAAATAAAATGTACAATTGTACATGTGAAATAATATTACAAAAATTTGAGGTCAGTAAGATTTTATTTTTTATGCTCTTATGCTCACCAAGGCTGCATTTATGTGATAAAAATACAGTAAAAACCACTAATATTGTGAAATTTAAATATATATATTTTATTTTTTTAATGTAATTTATTCCTGTGATCAAAGCTAGATTTTCAGTATCATTACTCCTGTCTTCAGTGTCACATGATCCTTCAGAAATCATTCTAATATGCTAAGTTACTGCTCAAGAAACATTTCTTATCATTATCAATGTTGAAAACAGTTGAGCTGCTACATATTTTTGTAGAAACAAGACATTTTTTCACTTTTGATCAATTTAATGAGTCATTGCTGAATAAAAGTATTCATTTAAAAAAATACTGACCCCTATAACATTTGAACAGTAGTGTGTGAAAATAAGCCAGACATGCTCTTGACAGGTTTCATGAGATTCTGCCTTTAAGACTCCTAACTATTACACAAACAACCAAAGGAAGTAAACTTAGTAAAACAAACTTCTGCTGTTATTTGTTAACTTTCCTATTCAGAAAACTATTATTTAGTTTGTTTTTGTTTTCCTCTGTTTCTGTCAGAGCGGCGTGATAGAGAGCGGGCGGCCCGAATGGAGAACCTGCGTCAGCAGGGTGGTGGAGGAAAGACAGCTGCTGGACTGAATAAGGACCAGAAACCCGCTAATGGCCCGAGCGGCGCTCAGTACAATGCACACAGTGAGTGACCATCACTCATGAGGCTCTGAACACTACTTTTACTGCACTTCTATCTGCAAGGCTTTGATAACCTTTCCCTTCTTACTTCACTTTGGTACAGGGACGGCTCAGGCAAAATTATTTTCTCCACCAACCTCTACTTCCTCTCCAAAAACTGTGGGCAGGTGAGTCATTCCTAGAGTCCTGACAGGATGACAGCGTGGGGTGTATCCCGTTGACTGATTGTGCTGTTTCCCTCCTAAAGCCCGGCTCAGTCCCATGTGGCCAGGGTTAAAGTGCCGGGCAGCTCGGCGGTCGGGGGCCCAAATGCCAAAGATGTCAAACAGATGCTGCTGGACTGGTGCCGGGTCAAGACTGAACCATATGAGGTGGGCCTGAAGAGACAAAATAAGATAAAATCAAACGGTTTCTGTTTTGCTACATGTCTGCTAGTCTCCCTGTGTGAATGGAAATGTCCAGGTCACATTTCATAACAAAATCCAAAAATTATGACAAATAAGCACATTTCCCATAACTGTAATGCATCCTGATTTTTTAACATTTAATTTTTTTAAATGCTCAATTTTGATTCCCTTTATTACAACCAAAAACTGTATTGTTTTTTTATTTTATTTTTATGTAAATCAGCATAAGCGTATCAAATACTTTGCATAATGTATAAATACTTTTTTTATTTGCATTATAATAATGTAAATTAGGTGTGTGGTGGTGGGTGTCTTTTTATCATTTAAACAATGCAAAAAACCTAATGGTCCTAAAAATTGGCTTTTTTTTTAAAATTCTTCACAGCTTTGTTGTGATTTTCCCTCTTATACTTGTTTCTATGTTTAGGGTGTGAACATCCATAATTTCTCCTCTAGCTGGGCAGATGGTCTGGCGTTTTGTGCCCTGGTGCACAGGTTCTTCCCAGAGAGCTTTGAATACTGCACTCTCGACCCCTATGATCGCAGGGCCAACTTTGAGAAGGCATTCAAGACTGCAGAGTAAGACTTCACACTATTTACTGCATCCACCTTTGTGTCATAAAGAAATGTTTGGGACATACTTCCCCCCAAAAAGAAAGAAAAAATATAAAAATAAAAAATTATCATATAAAATAATATTATAATACAAAAGAAATATTACAATAATTATATATTTTATTATAATTTCATATTATAATAGTAATATATTTAATTGTTCGATATATATTAATATTTAATGTAATTAATTTTATTTATAAGTGATTTTCAATTATAATTAAATTATAATGTATTTAAATAAGTGTGTTTAATCTTTTTTAATTGTTTTATTAATTTTTCAAATGAACTTAATTTAAATTATTCATCTGTTTTTTTAATACAGGCACATTTTATAATTAAATCTGCATAAATAATTTAATGAAGACATCACTATTTTCTAACACTATTGTAATGAGAAATGTGTGGTAAGCAGAGGAAATGTGCTTTAGGTATTTTGCAACAAAAATGTGCTTGAGTCATGAAAATAATGTCACAATGCAACCCCCCCCAAAAACAACAAAAACAAAACCATAATGGTCCTAAAAATAGGCTTCATTTTCTTTATGCGTGTAGGACACTAGCTGACTGTCCTCGCCTGCTGGATGTTGATGACTTGATGCGGATGCGAGAGCCAGACTGGAAGTGTGTGTACACATATATCCAGGAGTTTTACCGCTGCCTAGTAGAGAAAGGCCTCGTCAAGACTAAAAAGAAGATGCCATAGAAACTTTCACATTTTGAGCATTTCACTGTAAATGACCAAAGAACTACAAAAGGCACACAACACAGCGCACATGTGACCTGAAGCTTCTACCAAAGATCAGTCTATTATGTACTCATGCTCTTCTCTGTTTCATACACGCATGCAGCGGATGAGGATTATAACCTGTGTGTTTTGTGCTCGGCTACAGCTGGGGCTCTGAAACAGTGCATTCCAGTGAGATTACACATGCCTTAATCTCAGTCTATGCTTAGAGATTGTGTGAAAGTGTGTGTGCGTACATGCGGATGGCTTTTTATGGTACTGCTACTCCCTGTTTTGAATGCGCTCCAGCACTGAGACATCAGGCTTATAAGGGCATGAGATCTAATGCGGAATTATACTTAACCCAGATTTATCATTTGTTTAAAAATATAGACAAGGGCACTTTCACTATTAAATAAGAGTTCAGAAAGAAAAACAAAGCCTTGAAAATGCCTCAGTCGTCTCCTACAGAATAGAAATGTCACCTGCTTTTGCTTGTACAGGGTGAAATATGACAGCTTGAATAGTTTTCGGTTTCTCTCATTTTGTTCAGGATCTGAAGTCCATCATACTAAGCGTTTGCTTGGTACTACAAAAATGACCCTAGAACTGCACTAAGAGAGATTAAGTCCAATCAAACCTCTCACTCAGGGATAGACGGGCCCTTGAGGCCTGTAAGACGCCTGTAAGTCTTGTTTCAGAAGGCCGATGGTAATTTTCAAGTGCTTTTAAAATGTTCTCGACACTTTATTTGCTGCATGGCTAATGACTTAAGTGCACTTTAGATGTGTATTTTGAGCACAGATATTGACACTTCGATTGTAGCTAATAACATATGATAAAAATGATATATTACAAATTATGTAAGTATTATTATCTAGTGCTTTAAGTCATACAAGTACAATTTCTGTAAATCTGTGTCTGGTTTGATTAAATTATGGGTGTTATTTTCCTCCCACAATGCCTCACCAAGTGTTTGCCAAGTATTATTAAATGTGATAATCTTCTCTGAGCATTTTTTTTCTATTTACTGAAACACACACACACACACACACACACACATAATTTATTACTGGACTTTAGTGACAAACCAAATAATATCACAAAATTCATCAAATCAACTGCTAATACTTCACTGATGGTGGTGCTGTTATTTTCCTAATTTAATGACGTCACTTCCTGAAGGATTATGTAATTGGATTTTGTTAAAGGAATATTACAAAAAAATAACAGGATGAAAAGTGATATTGAGGACACAGTAACATTAAAATATGAATTGATTACCAATTAAAACAATATTCTCACAAAAATATGTTCTGTTCGAAAAAATACCTGCAATATTTCTTAATAAACTGTCAGTTTTTCAAGTTAGTTTCAAGTTTTTATTTATGACATAAATGGCAATAGCAATTCAAATAAAAGTCATGAGTTGACTTTAAATCAATTTCTAAGTTCAAATAATAGTACTGTTTTGATAAAGGAAAACTAACTAGCCTAATATGATTTAATAAATGATACAAAAATTAAGAAATACCTGCAATATTTCTTAATAAATCCATTTCTATGTTTAATTATTGACATGGTAAAAAATGAAAAAAAAACTATAGGCTAATATAATTCCCATGTTGTATAAATGATATTGAGGACACAGTAAAATAAATCTATAAACTGACTGCCAATTAATACAATATTTCCAGGATAATGCTCTGTTCGAAACATGTCAACGAATTAAGAAAAAACCTGCAGTATTTCCTAATATATTTTCAGTTAAAAAAAAAATGACCCAGTCGCATGACAAAAATGAATCATGAAAATAACAAAAAACATGAAATTACTTAAAAATCCATTTCTATGCTCAAATAATAGTGTTGTTAAAAGTAAACTAGCCTAATATGATTTCCATTTTTAATAAAAGTATCTAATAGGTCTAGATGATGATAGTAGGCCTACAGATATGTAACTGGAATGATTAGACCTTCAGCATCAGGATCATTATTGATTGGATTGTGAGAATAGTTCTCGTGAGTTGTGGATATATGCTGTCCTGTCATGTTAATGATGCTCCACGAGTAATGCACCCCGCTCACGCTGATCTTCCGGCGCCTTGCGTCATTTTTAGTCAAACAGAGTCATTACTAGTCAAGTGTCTGTTGAGGATGTTTCACTCACTGTCTTCGCTGCCTTTCCTCGTGTCCTCTTGGGACTGACGTATCCGCTCTCCATCACTCATTATCACACCGGTGGAAGTGTGTGTGTGTGTGTGTCCTGTAGAGACGCTCACATCACACACACACACTTGCGCCGGTGCAGAGAAACAGGACAGGTAAGAATTCTTTCGATATCAACTTAATTGTGCTTTTTAAACGAAACGTGGGTCGACGACTCAGTCAAATATGACGCTGTGACGCTCATCTGTTTGAAGCGTGAGACATCCTTCACCTCGAGACACTGCAGCGTATAAACAAGTGTCGTCAGACAAACAACTTTAAAAAAGACCTAGCTTGTCTGTCAAAGAGACTCGCGTTCATTTATCGCCATTTCCATAACGTAGATGTCCATTGCATCAGCTTGAGAAACGGTGAATTATCTGCGGACTCTTAATTGACCCGCGAGGACAGATGACCTTGTTCATGATAGGCGCGTGGCTGCTTGTGGAAATGACTATTATTATATAGGCTACTCGAGATTTTATTCGGTGTCCAGCGGGCTCTGTGAGATATTTAAATATTATTTTTCTTGCGACACACGACTAGCCTACGCGCTGATTCTTGAGACAAAACCAAATGGGTTGGAAAGTTTATAAATTATTAGTATATGTAGCCTAATAATAGCTTGTATTAATGTGTTCAGTGTTCAGAATCATTGACTTCTTTGAGTGAAGTCTCCTGCTTTTTCAGTTTTCTCACAGTATATGTGTAATCATTCAGTATCAGTCAAAATCATCTTATTCAAAAATAATAGGCTATGTCCAATATTTATTATTAATAACGACAAATCCAGCATTCACTAAAATGAATGAATGGAAAGTAAGGATGGTTTCAAATTAAATTGTCTCTACCATTTGCATATAATGCAGAAATGTTGTTTTCTTTCTATTACTAGTGACTAATAGGGTGTAAAACTCACAAACAATTGGGGAAAAAGTTGAAATATCATGATTGTGAGCAAGAAAATATAAGCACAATTAGTTGAAATTATATATAAATAGAAATATATTTATAGATAAACCCATCCAGAACCTGTGACCTTGTTTAACTCGTGTGAAATATGGCAGGTGTCATTTTTTTGTAGGCATTAGTCTTTTTAATGACCTTTTGTGACAACATGCCCCAATAACATGTTACATTAAAACAATGAAGCACAAAGTACTTCATTAAACAGCAGAAGTGTAAAAGGTAACATAAATACCATCAACAAATAAATAATGTTACATTTTGTGAATATTATTTTTTCACTTGGCTCCGTTCATTGTTATAATTTGTCATCATTATACATTTTTAAATTTGATAAATTTTGAATGATGACCTGTTTTCATTATGCCACCCTATTACAGTGCACTAAATACTGTGTGAGCAGATGAGCTCTTATATTACCTCACTGCATTGAACTGCATGGAAAATTTTTTTTCCATTTATCTTTTCATTGATTAACTTTACTAAACAATTTTTTATATATAACACTTAATTACTGTAATGTACATTAATGTGCATTCAAATAATTGCCATGAAAATAAATATCAAACATTGATTAATATATTTTCATATACATTCATGTGACATCTGTGTTGCACATCGTGTTAAAAACATTAGAATTATGATTTGCATAAAATATATATATCAGCCATCAACAAAACAGTTCCTCAGTTTTGTCAGTTTGTGATTTTGATATGAATTGTTGCATCTTCCGTGTAGCATGTTGTAAGAAAAAGTGAAGACGTCGAAGATCTTGATGAAGAATAACTTTTATTACAGAATAGTAGTGACAAAGTACAGGCAGCACTTCGGATTCAGCGGAGTCAGAATGAACCACGAACATCCTAAGCATTTTATACTCTATTCTTCCCGCTTCATCTTCCCGCATGTAAATGAAGTTTTGTCTTAAATGTAAATTGCGGATAACAATGAAAGTGATAGCCTTCCGTTCCCACATCTTTGGTAGTCTTTCAGGTGGAAACAACCAAATGTTAAGGTGATAGGATTATCTAGAATCCCTAGCAATTATATTCAAGTACCCTTTTGGTCAGCAGATGGTTCTTGATGGCCCTAGTGCATGTAGACATTGGGTTCAACGGAGTCAGACTGAACCCCGAACATCCTAGCTCAAACATTTTATACACTTAGAGTTTACCCTCAATGTAAAGGAAGTTGCTCCTGTTGTTACAGCTGTGGTCTGTATGTTAATTAAGTTCTGACACCCCTTTTGTCTGAGGTGGTTCTCAGTGTCCCACACCTGCTCCCATTCTACAATTGGTCACCATTTGCTCAGGATGTGATCATCCCAAGTGATCTACAAACAACATAACTGTTGACTTTCTTCTTCTCTATAATAATTAAGCCATTTTGGGAAATGAGCATGATCAAACATATTGTGGAGTGGAATCTGGGTCGGGGCAGACTATAGATTCTTACAATGTGTATAGGCTATATGCATGTTTAGACTGGCCATGTTTGCTAAACTCTGTTAGGAATGTTTATAGCATTTTCTAAGATATAACTGTTAGGAATGTTTATAGCATTTTCTAAGATATAACTCATGTACTTGAGAAAGCATTCTGTCATCTCACCAAAGATCTGTCCCAAGACACCAATTTGTAAAAGCTCTGAGCTATTATTCTGCCACAGTTGGCGAAAGAGGCATCATTGCTAATGCTATGTGATAGCCATTATCCCTAGCACTTTCTTTAAAGATCGCCCTATCGATCAGAGTCCTGCTTATTAAAGGATACATTCCGGAATGTTAAAAGGAAAGAATGTTTGGAAGGGGGGTGTTGGGACTGAAAGTTGTTGCCAAGCAACAGGAAAGTAGATCAGGACAGAGGGGAGGGTATATAGTTGTCATTTGAAGAAAAGGATTGATCTTAGCTGATTGTAGTTCACTGATGTCAGCAGTGACGTCTCAGGAAAGGAAAAAAGCAAGAGGGGACAGGTACATAGCGGGGACGT